GCCATGATGTAGTATATATTGTCTTAAGATGTTAACATCACTGCTCTGACAACTTTGATTTTCTAGTAGAAAATCAGTTCTCCTGCTCCTTTTGCGACCTATTCTACCATTCATAAATTAGGCTCAATCACCAGATTAATCTTATGAATGTGTTGATGACACTTTTACTTTTCACAGGATCCCACTAGTTTGTGTGGGTGTTACCACTATGACCTTTCAATAGTTATTGATCATATTAAGAGTTATTGTCCTTATTGGCGAGTGTGTTCCCTCGCTACTTTGATTCTTTTTCTCCACTTAGTGATATGGGGCATCACGCCTTAGGTGCCACTATCACCTCTTTGTGAGCTTTAATTTTCTAATAGAAAGTCAGCTATTCAGATCTTTTTACCACTTGTGTTCCCATTAAGACCCAACTCTCAGCTGTCGGAGAGGTCCTTTGGATGTATTGATGTTGATTCTACTTCTTATAGGATCCCCATCAGTTAGTATGGGTTTACCACTATAACTTCCTTAATGATTGTCCCTACTAGGCTTAGGCCTATTTTTTGTAGTAGAGGTGCCCCCTCGCTACTTCAGTTCCTACTTACTTGGAATGAGATTGCCCTTTGCACACTCTGCTGAGGGTGCATCTCTTCCTATTATCTTGTGAGGCATTATTTTGATGCTTTCCTGTCCTTTTGTGTAGGGTTAGGGTTCCCTAAGAGATCCTGATGGTATTTGGATACTCATGGCCATGACGACTTATCCTCTTTCATGTGGTTACCAAAATGCTAGCTTTGGATTCCTTAGATAACTTTACCCTTAGAATTCTTCCATTTACCTTTCCTTTCTCCCTCACATCGCTACACAGATCTATGTCGGGTTGATGATGAGATGACTTTCACCTTATACCCTATTATTCTGATACTAATAGACAGATAGTTGGTTTTACTTGGTTGAGAGAGCCTAACAGAGCCCTTAGAAGGAATTCCTCACCACTCTTTTTTCTTTATAAGTGTCCTGTTGTGATCAGGCAGGTACTAGAGCCTGACTCTTTATCCACTACTCCCGATAGGAGTAAGTGAGTATTGTGCCATTCATCATTTGCAAGGCCAATCTGGTTGAGCAGATATTGAAGCTTTCCTAGTGGAAAGAGCCTGATAGAATACCTAGAAGGCATTCCTCACCACCTCTTTCTTACCTTGGATGTTCTGTTAAAGACTATGCAGACTTCCAATTTCATGGCTTATCTACTTCTTAATGAAGTTAGACAAAAGTATTGAGTCATCCCAATCCACTGGTCTAAAAGGATCAGGAGGAGATAAGATTCCTAAAAGTTATATTTTAAAAATTATATCTTAATAATTAATTGAGATTTGAGAATGAAGTCGTTAGCTAGTAGTCATTTTGTTGGCTTGGGCAGGAGTTTGAGATTTTTTATTTGAGTGGATAATTGATATATCACAATAAAATTTATTTAATAATTGATATATCACAATAAAATTTATTTGATAAAGCATTAAATTTTGAAATGAAATTGGAATTGAAAAACTTGTAAAAAGTTGGAATTTAATATCATTCTAATTCTTAATTTAAGCAAATTACAATGATTTATTTAATTTTATGATGTTAATTTTTTTTTTAAATCAACATCTTTTTGATCATCAGTTTAAATTAAAGTGTCATTATTATATCACCAAATAAAATTTATTTTTTATTTAATTTTATTTCATTTTAAAATGTGATTCTAAATTTTTTTTCTAAAACCGTAATGCCCCGCCTGTAAAATGGGATAATACGAAAGGTTTGAGAGGTATTTTAAGGTTCAAATAGTTTGTGCCTCCAATGAAAAAAATTTAGCTCCGCGCACCCTGGGTCCCCACTGTGCTGCCAATCCATAATATATGATCATTGAGTACAACAAACTAAAGAAATTGTACATGGGCTTCTTCCATTAAATATTTGGATTACAATTCATAGTGCTCCTCTCCTAACTACAGAGCACACCTTTTGGATGTTTTAATTTTCATTTTATTTTCTATAATTAGCATTGATTTATTTTCATATTTAATCACACACACCAACACACACACACACAGCACACACACATATATATAAATATATATATAATAAAGAAAGGTAATTTAAAAATTCAAATAATTTTTATATTATATATTTCTATAAGGGAGGCGGAAACTGTCTTTTGTTCCTAGGTGCGAATCAAATGTTATTTATAATATAAATTTATGTAAAAAATAAAATTGATGCAGAATATTCAAAATAAACTCTTGTATTTATTATAATAGATTAAATTGAATAATGATTTATAAAATTTTCAATTATTTTGTATTTTAGAATATTATATTTTCTGAGAACAATCAAGATGCTTATTCAATGGTACTTTTGAGATGCCAACTACGATATTAGACACCTTATTTACAAAAAAATTGCTCTTTGATATTATAGTGGTAGCCAACCGCAAATAATGCCAATGATAAGTCAATGAATTAGAGGATACATAATTTTTTTTTTTTAACTTTAATAATTTATTTTACGGGCACTTTTGAAGCATATCAATAATAGCATAAACATTAATATTGAACCGTGCTGAAATAACTATAACTAAAGAACGTAAAGCCTAATTATCAAATATCAAACTCTAAGAAAGTACGAACAGAGGCGGTAATTGGAAGAAAATGAAGGCACACCAACCAATCATTTTTGTTTAAATGAAGATACACCAATGACATTTGTTTTAAATATAGGCACATCATTGGTTCAATTTTAAATGAATTTCTGAAAACTTCAACTTCTCACAATTAAAAAATAATACTAAATAATTAAATTTAGAAAATTAATTTTATTAAGATTTAAACCAAAAAATAACATAAAAAGGTGTTTACTAGAATATAAACATATCCGTAGAAATTCATGAGCTTTCTGGTTAAAATAAATAAAACATTATTAAATGACTCATTTTTAGATCTAGTTGCATTAGACTGACATATTTTTATATGAAAACATTAATCATTTCCCTTATTCATTATAATCAACTAAAATCTAAGGATATTAAACAAAATAAAAATAAAATAAAAAAGGTCATTATTAATAAAATTAAAGGGAATGTAAGGATTAGCTTTTTAAGATTTTGATAAATAAAATACAAATTATGCTTTAATTTTGATAATATCTAATATTGAAGAGGGACAATAATATCAAAATGACAATTTAATAGAAAAAAAGGTGAATCTTTAGAGGGGCGATGATTGCCCACCTCGATGCCAAGGTAGTTCCACCCTTGTTTTCTACCGCGTCCATTATGACAAGCATAGCCTCATAAGAAATTAAGATTTCATGGGAACAACAACAACAATAAGCTTTTATCCCATTTTATTGGGCCGCAAACATGAATCATTTTTCTTTCATTTAAATCAAATAAAAAAATTATTTCTAATACTTTCTAACCAAATCTTTTTATGTCCACCTCTATATTTCTTAAGAAAAAGTAAATTTAATACATCTATTCTCCTAACTTAATTGGGTCATAAGAAGACCAACATTTCATGTGAACAAATCATCAAAAGACAACATGACACTAAAATTAAAAACATTAATGGAGTTGCTTGAGAGAATAGAAGCCGTGACAACTTTTTAGTATAAAAATTAAAAATTTTGTATTAAGAAATTGCTATAAGAAGCAGTAAGAAAATCATCCCAAACGAAGCCTTAATCTCGATATATACCACCGTCAAACTCTACGAGATGCACTCCAAACAAAATCCACTTACAGTTTGACAATCAGCAAAATTAGAAAAATAAATAGTTGTTGAAAAGACACGACTTAAATTGCGAAAGGAAGGTTAAAAGGCACCGCCCAATCGGAATCCATAGTGGAATGGGACATGAACTGACTATATGAAAGGACATGAGATACACCATGACCAAAAATTAGTCCACAATATCTCTGGAAAAAACACAGAATTTTTTTAACTTTTTTTTTTCTATTTTTCTTTTTGAATCTAGGATTGGCTCCAGTAAATATCATAAAACCCAAGGACTTACCAGGTGATCACTATCTAAGTACTACTCTCGTCCAAACATGCTTAAGCACAGAATTTTGATGGGATCCAATGCATTGGTGTTGATATGGTTGCACCCAAATAACAAATTTAAAAGCCAAAGCAATGAGGCCTACAATAAACTCAAATGCCTCCCAAAATAAAAAAGTTAATAGCCTAAGCAATGAGGCCTACAATGAACTCAAATGGCTCTTCAAATGACCCTGAAAAGGAGCTCCGCAACTCTATTTTTTTTCCTCTTGTTATAATATATTCCTAAACTTTGTTTCTTTGTTTGCATAATGTTTCTTAAAGTGTTTTAAAAGAAAATTCATCTTCAAGCCTCGCAATCGCCTATTGATTGTTTTCGAGGGACTTTGAATTCCTGCAAGTATTCAATAAAGGGTTGTCATAAATCAACTGCTTCATCATCCATAGCAGGAACAATCTAATCCTCTACAGGTTAGTTATATATTCCAAATCTTTGAGTGACAAAAACTAGTCTATTGAAGACCTATGCTTTAACTCCAAGCACCTTTTAATATAAGGAATTGATATCTTATTAATTTGAAATTCACAAGCCTATTTAATATAAGAATATCTCTTTGTTGAGCACATAGGCCGCCTATGGAATAATTAACTTCAACTGTGGTCATTAAATGGCCATGACTTCATTTTTTTTTAAATAAATGCCTAATTCTATTTCTAAGTATTAATTTAAAAAATCATCAATGCCCCAGACTCATCTCAAATTCTTTAAAATTAAAATAAGCTAAAGTACATAGGTTTTTTTCATAAACATTAAAGTATAAGCACATACAAATTAATAAATATTTCACATCTGATTATCTTAATAATGTCAGTATGCTTTTAAATACCAGTAGGAAAAGTGACGACTATGAGTTCATGCAGGCAGTTGAAAATTGATAAGGCAATGAAAATAGAGAGAGAATGCAATCATACAAATAAAGCCAAAAAGATGCTATTAAAAAAATAACTGCACCAAAAAGGCCTACGTAAAAAATTCACTCTAAGAGAATCAAACATGAGGGCAAAAATAGAACTTTTGAGGCCATGGAGATTAAACAAGGCTTGGCTTTAAAACCTAGGTCGGCACAACATCATCAGCTGGGGACAACAACTGCATGAGAAATAATACAAAGGAAATGCTCAAAAGCATCAGCTGAACAAGAACGCAGAAAGAAAACCTACAGACCTTGTTTTTCAGCCTCAGGACATTCTCTGTCGCTACCAGCTCCTTGCAATATGCCTCTAACTTGTCTTTCTGCACATTCAACATGATGATCTTATCCTCAGCATCTTTAAGCTTTAGCATAATCTGTTCTTGATCGCCAGCCAGATACCTCTGCTCTCTACATAGAGCAATATAATCCTCGGAGAGGATTTTCCAGTTTTGTATAGTTTTAGTTATGATAAAATACTCAATTTCTGCCTCCATCTTTTCCTTTATGAGGACTTCAAGTTCAGAATCCAACGCTTCTTCTTGTGCTTGAATGGGTAATAAATGGGCACATGTGCCTTCCATATTTGGCAACTGAGCTTTGCTAAGTAGTGATTCAAGCTCTCGCAGCTTCTGTTCCTTGGCTTCAAGTACTGTTGATGCTTCCTCCAGCTTGGACTCCTGATTCTCAGCCTTTTTCCTCAAATCAACTAAATATGCTTCAAGCATCTGAGAATTGTAAGGTATGATTCCTTCAAACTGCCTATCATTTTCATCGTACTGCTTTCCCATTGCTGCAATCTTTTGGATTTCTGTTTCAAAACAAAGTTGCAGGGGAATATCTAACTCGTCACAATAACAATTAAATGGCATGTAAGCTTCATTCGCTTGTGACTCTATCAACACAAAATGGGCCAGAACTTTGCAGCAACGGAAAAAAAAAAACCAAACGAGAAACCATTGCATGAAATCTGAAGATTAAACGGTAATTTGATCCTGGTCCAAGAAAACAAAATTCTACAAACCATTTATTGTAAATCATGACTGCAAAAACTATAATACGAACTTACAGTTTAGAGAATGAACCAAACACCCCAAAAACCCATTTTCATGGAACACTTAATTTAGAAACACTGACGTTTTCAAGAAAATTTCGTAATTGTGATGGTAGATATCATAACCTCATTAAAGTTTGAAAACAGTTTCCAATTAGGTCAAGAAAATACTAGAAAATAACCAAAATTTCAGGTCTTCGCTATGAGACTGATCCATCCATTGCTGACAACCAGAAAATTGCACCCTTCATAAACAAGAGTGGGCAAGTGATTAGAGGCCCAAACAGCCAACCAGTAGGTGGAAAATCTAAATCTAAACTGTCACTAGCCCAATGAATTTTTTTCTCCGGAGCATTAACTGAAGGAGAAATTATTGTGTTGTCCCTTTTTTGATATATAGACTTTCGATGTTGGACAGCAAATGGCCAATATTTAGGTACTGAATCACTCAACTTGAATCTTTTAAACTAGTAATAATTTGATCATAGCTTTTCCGTACTTGTGAGTTGACAAGTCAAAATATTTCCATTTGTTTTATGTCGTATTAAAAAATTATAAAATGCAAGCATAACGCCAAGGACAATTGCTTTTTTGTTGTCACGGTGTATGAATTGGAAAGCTATAGCAAAACAAAGAAAAGATTTCTATTGCTATATATTAATAGAGAAGATCGGATCAATTATAAAACTTAAACAAATGAGGCGTTGAATAAAACAATATGTGGAAGCAAAGAAGAAATAGCATGCTATAAAAGTATTATGTAGCCATGTCAGATACCGTTTAACATGGGCTAATTAATAGCTCAGTGGCAAAAGAAAGATTTGAGGACCAAGATTCATTTTGCAGATAAGAAAGAAATGTGTTGAAAAGCAATTTCTAATCATAAACGTAAATTTCATGATTCTTCAAAAGTCATTTAACATAAAAGCAAGGCATAAGACCATCACACTCCAATCATTAAGGAAATTGATAGGACCCAATATTATAAAACACAATTGAAAGTAACAAGTAAACGACAGTAAAAATGAGCGAGTCAAAAGAAACAAACCAAATAAGTCAAAGCTATTGAATGGTTTGAATATACTAGGGGTACATTCATGGGAGGGACATATCCTAATTTCATATTTTAAATTTTTATCATCATCATTAACCTTACAACAACCATTTGGGATGAACTTTATGAATCCACATTTTTCAAACATTAGGCTATATGATATGGAAATGTTAAATCTACATTTCATAAATTATTTTGAACAATTTCTATTTATGCTATCTTAGACACACCCCTTATCCTTCCTAATCCTCCAATACTAATTGTATCAACTCGTTCAATGGGTGTAGTTTCTGTCCTTCATCGTACAAATCCAGACCACGTAAGTCTATATCCAATTATATTTTCATTGATAGGCTTCACACCACCCATTCCTCCAGTATAATCCCTAATTTATCATCCCAAATTTCTTCATGCATCCATATTAACATTTTCATTTACACCACACTAAACTTAGCTATTGTGGGCTCCGAAAATTCGGCCCCGGCCTCCCCGCTTCGCTTTTTCTTTTTTTTTTCGGCGAGGGAGTTTTAACGGATAAGTTCCAGGGTAAATTTTGGAAGGCAGATGGGTTTGTAGATAAGACACTACCCAGAGATTTCGCCCTCATTTTGTGAGTACTTTATGATCTGAGTTCTGGTTTCCTATAGGCGCAAGCCCCTATAGTTAATTCTGGATTGGTGGCTGGATGACTAAGAGGGGGTTGGTTAGTGAGGGAGATCGGGATTTTGGTCGGAGGCTGGGAGGATTCCGGCTACTAGGCTCGGGATTGAGGGGAGATCAGGAGGCAGTGGAGTGTCGTGGGAAGGGGTATCGGGAGAGGGCAGAGAGCGAGTGAGTGCCTGAATCCTTCTCTTGGTCGGGTATTTAACGACGGGATCGAGCGGGATTTTCGCATACGGGAGAAAAGACGTGAGTTCGGCGCAGCTGCAGAGGGATGGGCAACCGTAGCAAAGCATGATTTGCAATCATTTTGCCAGGATATCCGGCAGAGGTAATGATTTTTGCATTTTTTTTATTTCTTTTGTTTTGTTTCTGCTTGGCTGTAGTGGATCTCCAAAATTTTGCTTGTATGTCACACTAAAACTTTCTTTCTCCATAGATCTTTTGGATGTACCAATAGATGATTGAGATACTGATTTATATCGTCCTGCGCTTTGTGCTGTGGACATTGATGGAGAATTGTCTGATTTGTCTTTACTAACTTGTCAGGTGATTTTTTGTACCTTCGGCCCTATGCTTTCTTGCTTTGGCGGGCTTGTTGAATGAATAGATGCCGATAACCTAAACCCTTAGGTTTGTATTAGGTCGATGGTGCAAAGTCATCGGTCCAGAGCTTTGTGCATAACGGACTTGTTGATGACAGAATTCACTTAGTTCAACCTTGGGCTTTTTACGAACTTTGGGATAATTTTCTTCGGTTCTTTGCTTTGTGCTTTGACGGACTTGTTGAAGAAAAATTCTTTCGATCCTCGCTTTGTGCTTTGCGGATTTGTTGAAGGATTTGCAGGTTCTGGATTTAGTTGATAGTACCAAACATAGGTAGTATCTTGATCCTTAACAACTTGAGAAGACTTTAATCTGAATCACTTGAGTTCATCAGATCGGGAGAGCTGGGATTTGACAGCTCTTCATCCTCTGGTTGCTGAGATGTGGGTTCCTCTACTGCGGCCTTTCTTATGACTTGTTGAGTAGATGGAGTTGCCAGCGATCCGGCCATATTTGGGCTTGTTGGATCCGCCATGTTTGGGCTTGTTGGATCTGACCTCTTACACCCATTCAGGCTTCAGACTTGAGCTATGGGAATTGCGCTCCCCAATACTGGTTTTGCTGAAATTGGTAGATTTAGAGTCATCATTTGTGGTTGCAGATTTTGGAGCCTGCGAACATTTGATAGTCGTTCGAGACTCATCTTCTTCTTGGAACTTTGATTCTCCAATCACTTAGGAGAATTTTGTAGACTACGATCACTTGAACTGGTCAAGTCAAATTTGCCTTCGTTCTTCCTACAGAACCTACTGACGGGTTGACGCGCTACTACGGCCTTTCTTATGGCTTATTGAGTAGACGGAGCTGCCAGCGATCCGGTCATATTTGGGCGTGTTGGATCCGACCTTTTACACCCATTCGAACCTTAATGTTCAGGCTGTCGAAAGATTTCAAGCTTCTTCGGCTCAATTTTGTAGGAGGTAGCCACAAAAGTCTCTTTCTTGACTTTTGAACTTTAGTTTGTTGGAGAATGTGGTGTCTCTAACTTTTGAAAAATCACCTGCAATACTTTGAAAAAAAATTCGTTGTATTCTTCAGCATAAAAGAATATTTGTATTGATAATTTAAATATTTATTCGGGATCTCGGCATGCAGCGCGATGTCGACCCGGATAAATATTTAAAATGCCCCATCTCTCGCAGGGACATTTCAGAATGAAATAAATTTGGAATATAAGATTTTAAATATTCATTTGGGGATCTCGGCGTATAGCACAATGTCGACCCAAATGAATATTTAAAATGCCCCCTGTCTCGCAGGGACATTTTGGATAGGCTTTTTGTCTTTAAGATTTTAAATAATTATTTGGGGATTTCGGCACGCAGCGCGATGTCGACCCAAATAAATATTTAAAATTCCCCCAGTCTGATGGGGGATTTTGAAATGCATTATTGTTGTACAAGAGAATTTCAAAATATAAATGTAAACATTCACTGATAACTATGTACATAAAACTTTAATAATTGCAAAGTACATTAGTAATGAAATTTTCATGCAAAATATTTCTTTAGATGTCGACCGTTGATTGGCGGCATAAGCCTCTGACCATTCAGATCGATCAACTTATAAGCTCCTCCTTGGTACACCTTCTCGATGACAAATGGGTCTTCCCAATTAGATATGAATTTACCACCAATTCTTCGGTGTGGGATGATTGGTCTTCTCAGCACCAGGACCAATTCCCCTTCTTGAAATATTCGAGGACGCACCATCCGATCAAAAGATTTTGACATTCTTCCTCGATAGATTTCCAGGTTCTGCTGAGCTTGTAACCTGAGCTCATCAAGTGCGTCGAGCTCTTCCATTCTGAGGCGGACATTTTGTTCTTGAGTAAGCTCATTCTGAATTGCTACCCAAAGTGACGGTAATTCAATCTCTAATGGTAATACGGCTTCAACACCAAACACTAGAGAGTAAGGAGTGGCCTTGGTTGGTGTTTTGTAA